GAAGAAGTAACAGACGAAATAATAATAAAAAAAACCGGTCATTGAGGAAAGAAAAGAAGATGTAGAAGAAATCACTGAAGAAATCACATTAAAGAAGAAGCCAAAGAAAAAAATCAATTATAGAAGAACCAGCTGCCGAAATTATTGTAAAGAAACCTGTTTCGAAGGAAGAAGAAGCACCGGAAGAAGCTGCTGAAAAAGTGCTACTAAAAAACCGAAAAAAGAGATACCTAAGGAAGAAGTCGCGGACGAAGTGACAATCAAAAAACCGATTGTCGACGAAAGAAAAGAGGATGTAAAAGAAGTCATATTAAAAAAGAAGCTAAGAAAAAAGCCAATTACGGAAGAAACTGCTGCCGAAATTACTGTAAAGAAACCTATTTCGCAGGACGAAGGACAAGTGCCGGAAGAAGTTGCTGAAAAAGTGCTACTAAAGAAACCGAAAAAGAAAACACCTAAGGAAGAAGTAACAGACGAAATAATAATAAAAAAACCGATCATCGAGGAAAGAAAAGAAGATGTAGAAGAAGTCATTGAAGAAATCACATTAAAAAAGAAGCCAAAGAAAAAGCCCGTCATGGAGGAACTTGCTGCCGAAATCACTGTAAAGAAACTTATTCCAAAGGAGGAAGAACAAGTGCCAGAAGAAGCTACTGAAAAAGTAGTACTAATGAAATCAAAAAAAGAGATGCCTAAGGAAGAAGTCACGGACGAAGTGACAATCAAAAAACCGATTGTCAAAGAAAAAAAAGAGGACGTAGAAGAAGTCACTGAAGAAATCACATTAAAAAAGAAACCAAAGAAAAAGTCTATCATGGAGGAACCAGCTGCCAAAATCATTATACAGAAACCTGTTTCGAAGGAGAAAGAACAAGTGCCGGAAGAAGTCGTCGAAAAAATTCTACTTAAGAAATCGGAAAAAGAAATTCCAAAAGAAGAAGTCGCTGACGAAATAACAATTAAAAACCAATTATTGAAGAAAGGAAAGAAGATGTAAAAGAAGTCATTGAAGATGTTACAGTAAAGAAAAAGCTAAAGAAAGAGCCCATTACGGAAGACTTTGCCGCTGAAATTACTGTAAAGAAACCTAGTTTAAAAGAGGAAACACAAGCACCAGAAGAAATTTCCGAAAACGTGATATTAAAGAAACCAAAGAAAGAATCTCTTAAAGAAGAAATCGGAGATGATATTACAATTAAAAAATTTATTGTAGAGAAGGAGATAGGAGACATTATTGAAGAAGTTACTTTAAAACGCAAACCACCAGAGAAAATACCAAAACCGATTGAAGAAATTTATGAAGATGTTACTTTACGTAAATTACGACCAAAGAAAAAATCTAGATCGGATATTAAAGAAGTTACTGAAGTCGAAAATGTAATATTTAGACCACGTTCTACAAGGACAAAAGAGGATGTAGAACAAGAATTCAAAATTTCGCTAAATACATATGAAGAAGAAGATATTTCTATGTCTGGTAAAGTGCGCCTAAAACCAAAAAGACGACCGCTTACGTATTCTGAAGAAACCGGAGAAGAAACAATTAAAATCGTTCAAGAAATTGAAGGTGATTCCAGTCCAATTGTCGAAGAGATCATTGATGAATCAGAAAAAGAAGATAAAGAAGAATATAGCATTGAAGAATTCGATATTGACGAAATGAACATACCATTTAAAAAGAAAAGGAAACAAAAAACTCCATATTCTATAGAAGAAATTGAAGAAGATGATATTAAATTACAATTAAAACGAGATAGAAAATATTCATATGAGGAAACCGATATTGAATCTTTGGCGTTGAAATTGAAAAGCAAGAGACGTGTGTCTACATATGAAGAAGGTTCGAAGATCGCTTACATCATTCTGTTATATATTTAATTTCTGTTAGCATGTAACATTAAATTAATAGAATATGATTTTAATTATCAAAATGATTAATGTTTTAATAATTATTTTAATTCTTTTACTGATGAGTATATGCGCTTTATTCTCATGCTTTGCCTTACCTTGTCTCTTGCCCAATTGCTGCGTTTTCTTTACAAAAATTGTGTTTACCCGTTATTCTTAAATCTTTCGCTAATGTACTGCGTATGAAAAGCATATCGGTAGTAGTCATTGCATTACTTCTTTTAAACACAATAACAAATAATTATTTTATACAATTAGTGCACATTTAATGCACATTT